ATTAAATAAAGTTACTGCAGATACAGAACCAGCTGTTCTGAGGAGGTCCGGTTGAGGTTCTGACTGATTTTTCAGGGAATAATCCTAAAAGCAGCCGGACCACTCACTCATTCATGATGCTACTGGGACTCTTTGGTCCCTGTAATGCGTCTGAACAGATTAACGTCGTCACAACATGAACGTGAACACACGGTTCTGATCCGTACAGTGTCTGTGAGCTTCCCCAGACCACAGTTCCAGCAGCAGCAGGTGAGTTTGAGTCGATCCTTCGGTCTAAATTCAGAAACTCGACTGTCTCTGCAGAATATCTGGGTCTGTGTGTCCTCGTATTTCCTGACCCTGTTTCTAATCTGATTTACTCTCTGAGCCTGATTCAGCTCACAGAAATAAAACCACATTTCACCACCAGCACGGAGAGATGAACTGTCCATCAGACAAGAGATGGAACCAGAACCAAGGCCACACACATGTTCTATAGTATATTTAGAAATAACAGCATATTAACGTTAAAATAACACAATATGTCCAGAGACTAAAGAAATGTCCTGATATTACAGCTCATTGTGCTTGAGCTGCTGCTTCAGGAGGAATTATAACAACGTCAGTGTGCATCAACAGAGGCTCTGCAGGAACTTGTTTTTCAGCCCTGAGTTCCGTCTGCAGGCACATCAGCACACCTGTATGGTCTTTAAGACACCTGTGATGAACAGAAGTACGTAAACTAAACACGTAGCAGCTGCCATGGCGAGAACATTTACGTCTTTATTCCCTGATGTGCACGTTGTGTTGAAGAGTTTCACACCTGTGGTCCTTAGAGGAGTGTGTTGGATGGAGAAAATAATACAGCGAATACAGTGACTTCACTCCTTAGCTGTTTGCTGCAGCGCCACCTAGCTGAGCAGAGTTGCAGGATTCCTCCACGGCACCGACCACAGCTTCATGGAGAATGGAGGAGAGAAAGTGAGACACAAAACCACCACAAAGAGACACAAAACCACCACAAAGAGACACAAAACCACCACAAAGAGACACAAAACCTCCACAAAGAGACACAAAANACCAGTCAGATGCAGTTTAACGAGTTTGATTCTGATCTCAGGGCTTCGACAAAAGCTGTTGGTTCTTCAAGACTTTTCATCCAAGAGGCTTCTTCATGGAAGACAACAACAAACAACGACAAACAACGAAAAACAATGACAAACAACGACAAACAACGACAAACAACAACAAACAACGACAAACAACAACAAACAACGACAAACAACGACAAACAACATACATGACAGAACACTGTGACTGGAAACGACCGAAAAAAACAACTTAAAGTGACAGAAAATGGACGAAAAAGAAGAAAACAGTGAAAAACAGGCAACTGAAAATAGCAGCAACAGAAGAAGCAGCGACAGGAAGTGACTCTGACCAAACGTGTCCAAAACCAAACAACCAGAACCAGCGACTAAAAACGACCCAAACAACCAGAACCAGCGACTAAAAACAACTGAAGACAACAGAAACCGACTGACAGGAAAGAATAGAAAGAAGACAGAAAACAGCTCAGAGTGAACAGTGAGGAAGCCTCTTGGACGAATCCTCTTCCAGAACCGCAGACAGAACCACACGTTCTACTGAAGCTTCCACAGACTCTGTGTTCTGTTCCAGGTCCGTCTCTGGGAGATCTGTCGGACAAGAAGAGAGGAAAGTTCGGCTGGTTCAGTCACTCCAACGAAACTCACGGTGAGAGTCCCACCCTGATGTGGGTTTACTGGTTACTGCCTGTTTCAGGTTCACGGTCCCTCAGCAGAACTTCTGCTCGTTAACTAAACATTAGAGCAACAAATGCCCAACATCTTCCGAACAGAACCAACCAGATGGACTCCCTCAGAGTCAGAAACAGTCTAAAATCTTACACTAGTGTTAAAGTGAAGACAGCTCAGAGTGGATCCAGTCAATGATCAGATTGTGTTTTTTAGTCATTTCACACATTTTCTGAATAATTTTAGACAATTTTCAACTTGTTGTCGACACTTTTGGGGGAATTTTTATTCATTTTAACACCTTTATGACAAGTTTAGAATAAATTTAAACCAATTTTGATAATTAAATCATTTCTGAGTCGTTTCTGAGACGTTCTGGTGAATTTGGGACGTTCTGTCGTCATTCTGGGAAACTTTCAAGACAGTTTGAATGAGTTGGAGGTATTTTGGTAAATCTTTGGCTCAGTTTGGACAA